AAGGGGTCAGGCCACAGTGGCCTGTGTCAGCACCCGTGTCCCACCCCCGCCAGCCCCCCCTGCCCCCCACCAGGCCCAGTGCTGCAGGGAGGCCGCCTGGGCTGGGGTTCGAGCCCAGGCAACCCCAGGGCTGCAGCACGTGAGGTAGACCCAGCTCGGGGCCTGAGGCAGTGACTGCGCACACTCCAGCACGGGACATGGCGGGCAACTGGCTCCTCTCAGGATGCTCCGGTGAGGGACGCCCCCAGCGCCCCTGCCGCCCACGCGTGCGCCTGCACTCCTGCTTGCTTGACTCGCGGGATAGACACGGAGGGGCTTGCGGGCCCTGCGTGTTCCATGCTGTTCTGCGGGCCCCACGCTGCAGCCTGGAGCTGGGCCACGCAGCGCGCCACAGGGGCACATCCCACGGCTGCACCGGCTCCTGCCCCTCCGAGACGGCGACTCGAAGTGTCTCTGCAGCGGCGGCCGGCAGCCTGACGCTCCGTTTCCCTCCTGAGTCTGTCGGGCAACTTCACCCACGTAAGCACTTGAACTCATCACAAAGGGAACGTCGCACCGTTCAGAAACACTGAAGGGACAATGGGATCACCGCGCCGGCTCCCCAGGGAAGGCCGGGGAGAGAGAGGGGAGGCCCTGTGACTCACCACAGAACGCTCTGGAACCATCGCAGTGGCCCGCAGTGACCGCCCTCCATGCTCCCTCCTGTCGTCACTGCCCACCCTCACCCCACCTGCTCTCCCTCCTCCTCTGGCCCTCGGCCTCGGTGCTCCCCTGCCTCTCCCGAGTCTCACCTCCACCTGCACTCGCCCGGCCTGACCTCCAGCCCATGCGGCCACCACGTCCCCAACTCACCTCCCAGCCCTCGCCTCCTCCCACCATGGCTGCATGTGTCCCCACTGCCCCGTGCTCACCCGTCTGCCCTGCCTGTGTCACTGTCCCGTGTGGTGCCCTCACCCCCTCCCGCGTCACTGCCGAGTATCCCGACTACCTCCCGCACTCATCACCTCAAGGGCTCAGTGTGGCTGCCAGGGCACGGCCCTCTGCCTACCCCCCCCCACACACACACGGGCCACACAGCCGGGTCCCTGGAAACCCTCCCACCATTTTGTTCTCACTCACCGTCCACTGTGCATGGTACACCGTTCTGTGGGACCGAATGACGCGTGCTTTGCTGTTTCCCAGACCTTAAAAACGCACATCAAGGACTGCCTGGCTCCATAAATCAAGGCTGAGTCCACATTCGCATTTAAATCGCTCTCCTGTGGCCCGAGGGACAGGCCAGCGGGTAGGACGTCTGCCCTGCACGCAGCCATGGGGTTCCTCCCCAACACCCCCGAGGGTCCCCAGGCCCGCCAGGAGTGACCCCTGAGCATCGCCAGGTGTGGCCCCCAAACAAAAACTGAAACCATAAACCAGTTTCCTTCCAAAGCATCCGAGCTTCAGCCTGGGTGAACGCAGCCCACCCAGGGGGCGGGAGGCAGGGGAGGGAGGCCCCAGGCTGTGGGGAAGGGCAGGAGCCTGGCAGAGCTTCTCACGAGTCCCCGGGCCTCTCCCTCGCTTGCGGAGGCCAGTGCAGGCACACGGGAGGCCCCGTGAGAGCTGACAGGAATGCTGCGGGGGGATGCCCCAAGCCGCCGGCCACCCCGGCCGACCCTCAGGAGCTGGCCTGGTCACCGCGGCACACTGGTGGTGTCTGGGCCGGGACCAGCTCCGCCTCTGAGGACAGCCAGCCCTTGACTGTGTTGAGGACGAGGGAGGGTCCCTGGCCCCAGACCCTGAGCAGGCTCGGAGCAGCCACCTGGGACACGGCTGGGCTAGAGGGGGCATGACCCGAGCCCGGGGGCAGGCCCAGCAGGTCCATCCACAGTCCCGGGGACTCTACCTGAAGCCAGTGACCACACACCAATGGAGTGGGCGGGGGCCATCCAACAGCCACACCCAGGACCACCCACAGCCTTCCCAAAGGGCCACAGGAGAGGGGCGCAGGGAGCAGAGGGCACGGCAGTCCAGGGCGGTTCCAGGGCCACACGCCTGGGATCCTGCACGGGACTCTGCCCAGGACCCTCACCTAGAGGCCAGTACTGGGGGTCCTGCACCTGGGGACCCTGCACCTGGGGATCCAGTGCTGAGGGATCTGGTGCTGAGGAATCCTAACCTGGGATCCTGTACCTGGGGATCTGGTGCCAAGGGATTCAGTGCTAAGGGAGCCAATGCTGAGGGATCCGGTGCTGAGGGACCCAGTGCTGAGGGATCCTAACCTGGAGTTCCTACACCTGGGGATTCAGTAACAGGGGATCCTGCACTTGGAGATCCAGTGTCAGGGGATTCTACACCTGGGGATCCAGTGCTGAGGGATCCAGTGCTAAGTGACCCAGTGCTGAGGAATCTGGTACTAAGGGATCCAGTGCGGAAGGATCATAACCTGGGGATCCTGCACCTGGAGATCCAGTGCTGAGGGATCCAGTGCTGAGGGATCCAGTGCTGAGGGATCCAGTGCTGAGGGATCTGGTGCTGAGGAATCCTAACCTGGGATCCTGTACCTGGGGATCTGGTGCCAAGGGATTCAGTGCTAAGGGATCCAATGCTGAGGGATTCAGTGCTGAGGGATCCAATGCTGAGGGATCCAGTGCTGAGGGATCCAATGCTGAGGGATCCAGTGCTGAGGGATCCAGTGCTGAGGGATCCAATGCTGAAGGATCATAACCTGGGGATCCTGCGCCTGGAGATCCAGTGCTGAGGGATCCAGTGCCGAGGGACCCAGCGCTCAAGGATCCTAACCTGGGGATCCTGCATCTGGGGATCCAGTGTGGGGTGCTGAAGTCCTTCCTAGTGCAGTTCCCTGGCCACCTGGCCTGTGGTGTTTGTGGACGAACTCTGGGCACTGGTCCTGATGGGGGCGGCTGTTACTGGGGGAACTGGCGTTTCCCGCAATTCCACGGCTCCGGGGCCTTGCAGGTGCCTGTGGCCAGGGCCGAGGTCAGGAAAAGCCGCCCCTCGAGGTCTGAAAAGCTCAGTGTCCACCCCTGCATTTGCTCACAGGAGTCCCGCGACACCTCCCAACGCCCCGTCCCTCTGGCCCATGTAGACCATAGAACTCACCTTCCTCTTCCCTTCTTGTGACCCGCACGTAACGCGTCCCTTTCTGCCCTTATAGAAAACCATTATCCTGCCCCATAAGCCTTGTCACATTGTGGGATTATAGTTCTAAGCATTTTAAGAAGCAACACTGGTTTGTCCTTGCTCCTCCAGCAGCAGGGAGCTTAGGGTCATTGAGTTGCTCCCACCACAGTGCTCCCAGGGCCACCCAATTCCATCAGGCGCTCCCAATCCTCCGTGTTTATCTCTAACCTCTCCTCTGTGCTCTGCTTCCCCTACCTGCGAATCACTTGTATGCCCAAACCAGACCCTGTAACCTGTGGGCCAAATCCTCTGAGGGCTGAGGATTTTGTATATGTGAGTGAAAAATTGCTTCTTTTCTTTCCTTTATGCCTCTTGCGTGGTTTCCTCTGGAGCAATGTCCTTTTTGTATAGACACAGGAAGACAGTTAGCACGAGGCTCTTGTAATGTGGGAGTTAATTGACTCCGAATAACGTTTACTCCTGGGCATCCATCATACTTACTTGACCTAAGCCTCAGTTGCCCTGAGTTCCTAGCACCCCAAAACCAGGGTCCCGACAAAGGGACTGGATGAACCCAGGGCAAGCTGTGAGCTACGCTGGCACTGCAAAGGGACAGGCTAAGCTCCATGAGTATAGTAAGTTAAGAGCACGGTCATGGACAAACTCTGTCATGACCCAACAAGAAGCAACCTGCTGGGGTCAGGAAGGACGAACCTGGCTGAGGACTGTGGTCTGGGACACAGCGAGACGCCCCCAGGAAGAGCCACCCTTTAAGCTCCACACATCTCTTAACTGTGTCCACACAGAACGACTAGAAATGCTAGTAAGAAGCAAATTGAAGACGACTGTTTAGTGGATATTAGCTAAGGAAAGGGGAAAGCAATGTGTCCTTAGGCGAATCCCACCCAGGGGCGAATCCTTAGGCGAATCCCACCCTCCTAGTAAGGATCTAGAGTGCTGAGCCCTTAGGTGAAATTTCGTCCTTGGGTAAATCCCCTAGAAGAGCTTCCCCCAAGGAAGGGCTTTACGCCCGCTCACTGTCTGTCTAGACAATGTTCAACCACACCCACGTGTCACCTCATGTGGGTGTGGTTGAACTTTGCCCCAACCCTTTCCGATTTCTCTTTAACTGACGCTGTGAGACTTGAATAAAGGGCGGCTGATGACCAGCCAGCGTGTGGCTTCCGTTCCTTCGCTCGTCTGTCACCGTTGGCCTGCCAACGGTGATTGGCCCCGAACACACCAAGGGAATCGCGGGTCACCGCAAAACGGTGACCCTCCCCCATCCCGAACAGTGATGCCACATGACCATCAGTGTGTGGCTCGCGTGGGTGGTAGCTCCAGCTTGTCCGTGGCGTGCGGATCTTTGGGCAAGGAGCCCTGGCTCCCGTGGCAGTCTTCATGCTCCCAGGTCTTGCAGCTGCTCGTCAGCTACCCAGGAGGAGCGAGCACCTGGGACCCTGCACCTGGGACCCTGCTCCCGGGACCCGTGTCTGGGACCCTGCCCTGGGGCATGCTCAGCGGGGACCCCCTCCCGCGAAGCTCACAGCCCCCAGAGCCCCCGGCGCCGCATGCTCTCTGGCTGCTGTGACCACGGGAGAGCAGTGTCGCGAGGGGGCGACTGAGACTCTGACAGAACTCAGGGGCAGGGCCAAGGGGCACAGCGGGGGGGGGGGGGCACGAGCAGCCCGCAGCCCCAGGTCTGACTGGCGTGGAGCAGGCAGTCACAGGATGGCCGAGGTGGGTGTGCAGTGTCTCACAGTGCCCAAGTGGACACTGCATCCCTGACCTCCGCGGCCCCCACGTGTGGCCCTCGCCTGCTGCCCTGTGCTGAGTCAGTGTCCCAGCCTCCCTGTGCCCGCGGACATGGCCTCACTCACCATCCACACACAGCTCCGAGTCCCTGCAGAGTCCATCCTGGATCAGGCAGCCTGGAAGGAGAAGGGACAGTCAAGGTCACGGCAGAGCCTCGCCCAGGCTGGTGGTGGCGGGGGCCCGACTTCCCCCCGCTTAGCCCATGTGGGCCTACGAGAAAGTGGGCCCCTGCAGCGGGCCTGACTCGCCCCAGGAAAGATGATGGGACACCCCATAGACACCTCCCACCCAAGCAGCTGGGCTGAGACCCCAGCCCCTCAGTGGCCTGGGGATGAGGACTGGGCAGGAGAGAGAAGGAAGGGGCTTCCCTGCTTGCCAGGACTGTGAGTCCAGATGGACCCCTCCAGTGGCCGTGGACACAGTCAGTGCCACATAGAGACATGTGATAGGCACCATTAAGCACAGGGACACACGGTCAGCATCAAGGTCAGCATCACATGTCACGGTGCCACAGGACACATGATATCACATGACACAGTGCCATGGGACACACAGTATCACATGACATGGTGCGATGAGACACGTGGTCAGTATCACATGACATGGTGCCATGGGACACATGGTAACACATGACACGGTGCCACGGGACACATGGTAACAAATGACATGGTGCCACGGGATATGTGGTATCACATGACACAGTATCACATGACATGATGCCACGGGATAAGTGGTCAGTATCACATGACACGGTGCCACGTGGCACAGAGTAACACATGACATGGTGCCACGGGACACACGGTATCACACGGCACAGTGCCTTGGGACACAGTATCACATGACACTGTGCCACAGGACATGTGGTCAGTATCACATGACACGGTGCCATGGGATACGTGGTAACATATGACATGGTGCCACAGGACACATGGTATCATATGACACAGTGCCACAGGATACATGGTAACATATGACACGGTGCCACGGGACACATGGTAACACATGACACAGTGCCACGGGACACGTGGTATCACATGACACAGTTCCACAGGACACATGGTAACACATGACATGGTGCCACGGGAGACACAGTATCACATGACATGATGCCATGGGACATGTGGTCAGTATCACATAGCACATTATTGCCATGGGACACATAGTCTGCATCCCATAGCATGGTGCCATAGGACATGCAGTTCGTGTCACATCACTGCACACTTTTGTCTGCATCCCAAGGGGCTTTAATTATCTTTCTTCTTGTCCTGGCTTTCCTGAAACATAATAAAATCTTCCAAAGAGGGCATTTGCTGCTTTGCTCATTGGAACCAAGAAAGCATCTCAGCGTGTTTCCAAGGACACAGATTCCAGCAAAGCCTTGGGAAGGTGCCACGGGCCAGAAACAGGCACCCAGGGCCCAGGCGAGCGTGGGACGGTGTCAAAGCCAAGCTCAGTGCAGAATCAGGGGCAGAATCAGCCAGGGAGTGTCCACTGGTGGCAGGTGCTGCCTCGCCTGACCCAAAGGCCCAACACGGACTTCTCTCACCACGAGCCCCTGGCCCAGGCAGCCACTCTGAGATCCGCTGAGATCTGCTCTGCTCCGAGCAGGGCTGTGGGTGAGGCTCTGACACCCTCCACGGGCCCGGCCCATGGTCTGGTGCTGGAAGGAGGCACTGGGTTCTGGGGCAAGGGCCACGGGGGTCCCCAGCCTGTCTGCCCTGTGCTGAGCGACTGTCTGCCAGCTCCTGCCCGCAGCAGAGCTGCCCTTAGCCCAGCCACAACAGACACGAGGGCCACAACCATCACCACCTCCCAGACACAGGGACCTAGCTCAGGGGGCCGTCGGGGCCGTGAGGGCCCGAGTCCCACATTCCTGCCAGGAACTGAGCATTCGGGCCGGCAGAGCACTGCTGGGGAGGGCCGCCCCCGATGGAGAAGCTACAAGGGTGGGACATGGGGCTGTTGCTTCCGCAGGACACAGCAGAGACAGACAGACGCCTGCACCAGGCTGGCGGCGACCTCGGTCACAGCAGGGCTGTACCCTGGGCTCAAGGACACGTGAGGCCTGGGGTCTCCCGGCAGCTTCTGCCCTCCTGGGGTCTCCAGGGGCGCTGCCTCGCTGGACAGGGGCAGTCACCACATCAGCCTGGGGACTCTGCCTTACGGCTGCCGCCCTGGGGTGAGGCGCCCACAGCGCAACTGAACGCCCAGGACAGCGTGTGCAAACCCAAGCCAGGAGAGGCTCCTTCCTCCCTGCCGCCTACACCCATCTCGTGGCAGGAGAACTGAAAGCCAGCCGCTCACCACCCGCAGGACAGAGGAGCAGCCCAATGGCCTCCCCTCCGTTCAGCGAGAGGCGGGGGGGAGCCCGACCCCCAGGCCCGGAGCAGAATGCCGCACTCACTCCTGCAGACGGGGACCTGAAGTCCCGGCACCACACGGCTCACGCGGGGAGCTTGGGGGAACCTTGCCCGGGGACAGACGGCGGCACTGGGGGAAAACTGCCCGTCCTCTGCATCTGCGCACCTCACAGCTCTGGGGGGTTCCACGTGATGAAGGCCCAGAAATGAAGAAACTGGGAAATCGCCAGGAATAAAATAATGTCAGTTTCCTCCAGGCCAGAAATAACCCCTGCCATTGTTACCGCAGGGGTACGGAGCTGCGGTCACCCAGTCTCACACGCCGCAAGGCCACTGTGAGGCCTGGGCACGGCTGCACCCTGAATCTTGACCACTGCCCACTGACTAGTCCCACACAGTCCCGGAATCTGCCGGTCATGTCCACTGCTGCCTCTGTCCATCCCGAGAATGATGCCAGGGTCGGCCCCCTGGACCAGGGACCCGTGAGAGGACTCCGATGTCCCCACCAGGCTGACCCCTCTGAGAGAGGCCCCGATGTCACCTGTGAGACTCCAGAGACGCTTCCGAGACCCCCACCCTGAGAATGAAGTATGGGCCTGAACCTCCCCTCCGGGTTGGTTTAAGGGAAACGTCCACACACAGGAGTATCCCTGTCCCCTCGCGGGACAGTCCCGTCCACTCACAGGAGTGTCCCGGCAAGGGAGGCCCCATCCACACACAGTCACACACGACTGGCACTGACTTCGCCCCGCAGGGAGGGTGGGCTAGGGCCGACTGCCCACCCCGAGGGCCCCAACACCAAGCCCCAAGCCAGACTGCCCAGCAGGCCTGTGGAGTGGCCCCACGGTCCTCCCTGACCTCCAACTCACACCGTCCTCCCCTCCTCCCACCCGTGCTACCCCCTCCTCTCACCCCTGCTCTGCCCTCCTCCCGCACTCTCCCTGCCCTTCTCTGACCCTGCTCCTACACTCCTTTCTGCCCCCTCTTCCCTGCCCCTCCTCCTCTCCCCCTGCCTCAGGCCTGTCCTCTCTGACCCCCTGTGACTGGGCAGGCCCCCCTTCCCGCACACATGGAGACTCAGAAGACAGGACTTGGGCCTGGGGACCCATGTACAGAGCTCAGATCCTGGCCCCTGGCTGCACTCCACATGCTCGCGACGCTGACTATGATTCTACCAACAGGAACACCAGTCCGGCTCCTTGAAGGCTGAGCTGAACTTACTGAAGAAAATGAAAATACTTGCCGAAGCTTGTCACAACAGAAAACTAAAAGGCAGCAGCAGGAGAAAGGACAGTGCCTAGATAGCACCCGGAGGAGGGACAGCGCCAGACAGTGCCAGAAAAGAGCGAGAACAGGGCCAGGACAGTGCCAGGACAGTTGGACAGTGCAAGACAGCTGGACAGTGCAGAACAGCCGGACACTGCAGGACAGTTGGACAGTGCAGGACAGCTGGACAGTGCCAGGACAGCTGGACAGTGCAGGACAGTCGGACAGCGCCAGGACAGCCTGACAGCGCAGGACAGCTGGACAGTCCAGCAACGTTGGACAGTGCCAGGACATTCTGATAGTGCAGGACCATCGAATAGTGACAGGACAGCTGGACTGTGCAGGACAGTCGGACAGTGCCAGGACAGCGTAGGACAGTCAGACTGTGCAGGATAGTCGGACAGTGCCAGGACAGTCAGACAGTGCAGGACAGCTGGACAGTGCAGCAATGTTGGACAGTACCAGGACATCCTGATATTGCAGGACAGTCGAACAGTTTAGGACAGTCAGACAGTGCAGGATACTCGGGACCGTGCTATGGCAGTCGGACAGTGCCAGGATAATTGGACAGTGCCAGGACAGTTAGATAGCGCAGGACAGTCAGATAGTGCAGAATAGTCAGACAGTGCAGGACAGCCACACTCTGTACAACAGTCACACAGTGCCAGGACATTCGGACAGTGCAGGACAGCCAGACATTGCAGGACATATGGACAGTGCAGGACATTTTGACAGTGCAGGACAGTCAGACATGCCAGGACAGCCGGACAGTGCAAGACAGTCAGACAGTGCCAGAACAGCTGGACAGTCGGATATGCCAGGACAGTCGGACAGTGCAGGGCATCCGGACAGTGCCAGAACAGTGCAGGACAGTCAGACAGTGCCCACTGGGGGCCTGCCTCACGTGTCCTTGTTGGCCCTCACTGCTGTGTTTGGAAGACACGACACCCTCACACTCCATGATCTAAGTCCCGTCAATAACGCGAGGCCTGGTGAGGCCACGTATCGATTGACTTGGCCAGGGACGACCCAGACCGCAGCACACAAGCCAGGTTGCAGCAGTGAGGCAATGACACACGTCTCAGTGCGGCTGACCACTGCACCTGACTCCTGCCGGGCACTCACTCTCCCCGCCCACAGTGACCGACTCCACACCCCTAGATCCACAGTGACACTGGAATTGGCTTCCCCAGACCCCCAGTGACGGGACACCGGCTCTTGCAGACCCACAGTGACCAGACGCCACTCCCCTGACCCTCAGTGACCAGGCCCCAGATCTGATCCTGTTGGGATCCAGTGAGGATCGGCCACAGGCTTGTGCTGAAATGGAACAAGGGAAGCTCCTTCCTGGGGCCACAGGGAGCCCCAGGCCAAGCCCACAGCCCAGGGGAGACTGACTGGGCTGTCCCAGACCCAGCAGCAGGCCAGAGCCCGGGTTCAACTTCACAACCTGAGTGACGTCCCCAGGTTATTGCACCGAGCCTGTGGGG